GGTATGAGAGAGCGTGATGGACAGCGCCATCATGCTAATTAGAATCTGAATGTAATCTCAAGTGTGGACAATATTCATTATTTCATACAGAAAGGTCTCCGTCAAAGTAGGGTAACATTGTATTTTGTCAGGTACCGCCAAAAGAAAGTGCTATAAACCTTAACTCTACACCGCCCTGCCCCCCCCCCCCCCCCCCTAAAAAAAAAACCTGGGTAAAGCGCTACAAAGCTACACAGCGTCACTAATAATGTTATGCACCTTTTGGGTGTGTTATTTAGACAAAATATATTTTTAGTGTTTTTACCTTTTGTAGAGACACCTAGAAAATAAAACGTGCAAAGTAAGGACCACGATATGCAGTTTAGCATATCTTAGTACAAATTCTTTTTAATATCCGGGTTATGTGTTCGTAAGCATCATGAAATACACCAAGGTATAGTAATGAAATGTGAAGTTCAAATTTTCTGTGTTTTGTAAGTCCTGACGATTTTTATATCCTCATGGTGTGATGCCACTTGAAGGTGGTTTCCTTAGGCAGGTTTGAAATAGGTTACGTTAGGGTTAGGGGACCCCTAATCGCACCTGAGCGCGTGTGCTACCATCCGTGCACATATGGTTCCACACACGCTCGGATGCTCATCTCAGAGAAGCTTTCACGTTCTTGCTTTCTGTCGTGCCGTCTATGAGTGACAGCATTAAGCGCAGTCTTTCTACCGTTTTCCGGTAGGTTAGAGCCGCCATTCCTGACCTTCTCTCGTTCTACCTCTACTAAATGAGCTACGCCTCGGCGTATCAACACTTCGGCCATCTTGTCTGAAGCTCTGAAATTGCAGGGAATACTTTTTCCTCCTTCAGAGCAAAACGAGATCGCCCCAGTCTCCTCACATCGCATATAACGAGCACAGGCAGTCTCATTTTTGAATCGCAACTATCGCCAAGGACATTCGCCTTGCCCGGAGGACCAAATGGCGGCGCCCGCTACACCATCGGAGAATGGAGCGCCGAATCCTATACTCTAAGCTTATTTGGTGGTTCTAGTTGTACGGAGATGGGGAGCCATTGAAGCGTCCGTTGAGGAACCACTCAGAAAATTGCGTTCAAGACAAGGTCACTGCGACGCCTGGCAAGGCTCTGACCTCTCCTGTTACCATACTGGTAGGTATGAAGTATAAGAAAAAAAAGAAAAAGAAGGTTAGCTATTACAGCGCTCATGCACAGCTGCCTACAAACGTCAATGGATCAGCGTCCGAAATCCTAGCCGCTGCCGATAAAAATTGGAAATAATCTCAAACGCAGGCTCTTTGCGAAGAGAGGGGCTGCGCATAAAACAATATTTTTTTCTTTTTACAACACTCTTGGCGTCGGTGTTGTTCTTGGAGCCTCGTGACTTTGCATTTCTGACGTTCCTGCACATAAGATATGGGCAAAGGTTCCTAAATAAACGGAGTCGTGCAAAACCCGCAGCCCCCCCCCCCCTTTTTTTTTACTCTGTCATGATGTCAGCATTAGCAAACGTTGCGGCACCCGTGGAACAGAGCCAGATACTTGTCTATATAAACCCAACAACGCATTATATTTTGCGCCCAAACGGCTAATAGCACTCTGCTAAGAAATACTGCCATCCACCTTTAGCGACGTTGCAGTACTGCAGGCATGCTACGTGGGACTTATGTTTTTTTTTTTTTTATTTCAAACAGATATTTGGTACGGGTGACTTTACGCATTCAGCGAATCTGTCAGCTAATCAGCATTAAATTAAACGCTTCAAATGCACTCGTAAACGTGCGTTTATAAAACAAACGTAGCAAACTAATTAACATTGAATGTGTGACGTAATGGCGCAGCATAGTATGTGAATGAAACAAATGTCACGCTTCAATTTCGGATGGGATATCATCCAAATCCAGCTCTTTCAAGTTATGCGGAACTTTTTTTATTTTTTTTTATTTCCACACGGACGGAAAAGAAGGGCGCCTACACCAGACGGGTACGTGCGTGATAACCGCATGACGTCGCCCGTGTTGGAAGGCGGCCGAAGTAGGATTCTAAAACTCGTTTGGTAGCTTTTTAACATTCGGTTTAGGTTTCCAGGCGCACGGATAATCATAGCTGTCTAGTGTCTTTATCTTAAAATATTCGGTGGGTTGTTAGAAGAAAACAAAATGAAGATAAATTTAATACTTTAATAGTTCAATAGATGTTTATTGCACTACTGACTGGTCTAGTCAGTAGTGCATCCAGGCCCACGTCACCCAACTGGAGGCTCTATAACGATGATGAAGGGATGGCGATGATGATGATGATGGGATGGTGAAGAGGAAGAGCGTTATGCCTAGCAGCGGTCTACGCGACGGCGGTCTTCGCGGAGCTGCCATGGGTTGCCGATGTCTAGCAGGCCGGTCTCGAGCGGCTAGCGAGGGCTACCTGCGTGCCCAGCGTGCAGACGTGTCGTCCGAATATTCGGCGACGCAAGGAGTCCAGCACATACGTGGTGAAGCTCCAGGGGCCCTACGTTGCGCTTTTTGGACTCCCACGGCGACTAGGGAGAAGGAAGTGACGTCAACGACACAGCAAACGCAGATTGGGTGTTGATTTTTTTTTTCTTCTGTCAACATCCAATCTGTGTTTGCTGTATCGTTGACGTCACTTCCTTCTCCCTAGTCACCGTGGGAGTCCAAAAAAGCGCAACATAGGGCCCCAGGGGTTGGCGCCGGTGTTGGCCGGGCGGTGGCCTTCGCGGAAGCGGGCTTTGAAGTCTTCCAGCTTGCGGTACAGCTTGTAACCAAGCAGCGCGAGCACCCTGTCAATCAGAGACATGGTGTGTGGCACTGGGCCGGCTGGCTCTCTGGCGATGGAAAACACAAGTCGTACGCCCAGCTGGCTTCCTCTTCCTCCTCAAAAAGAACGGTTCAGCTTCAGTAAACTGAAGCTAGACCGTTCTGGAACCGGTTACCGTTCATTTCTTTGTAACGGTTGCCATTACCGCTCTCTGACGATGCATATATGGAAAAAGCACGTCCTACGCCCCCCAGCTCGCTTCATATTCCTTCTCAGAAAACAGCTTTCCAGCTTCAGTAAACTAAAGCTGGACCGTTCTCGAACCGGTTACCGTTCATTTCATTTTTACGGTTCCATCGCGTCCAGCTTTAAGATGGCGGCAATAATTCCGGTTAGATTTCCCTCCGGTTCTAGTACAAGTGACGGTTCAGTCTAGTTTTCGTTTCAGTTCGATTTTCGTTTAACACTTTGATCCAGAGATTCTTCAGCGGCTTTAAAATGGTGCTGGTGTATTTTCGTGTGTGTATGTGTGCGTGCGTACGGTGGGCGTGTTGGCTTGTGTGTGTACGTGCGTGAGTGCCTGTGTGCGTGTCTGCATGTGTGCGTCCTCCTGTGCAAGGCAATAAAAGAGCTAGTTTTTCCGCTACTGTGTTTTGATTTGATCGATTGATTTTATTATTTTAACAGCTCCGGTTAACGTCCAGGATGGCGGCGACAATATCAGTTCACTTCAGTTCTGCTTCAGATAAAATAATGGTTCTCATCCGGTTTTTGGTTCGATTGACTTTCGGGTCGACACTGAGATAATGAGGTTTTTCAGCAGCCTCACAAAGGTGCTTGTATCTGGGGGTCGTTAGTTGTGAAAAAGGAGTTGGTTTTACTGATGCCTCCACGACTTAGCTTGTCTGGAGCATCAGACGGTAAATCCCTCAAGGTGTGATCAGAGAGGAGAGGGGAAGAGAGGGTAAAAATAAAGGAAAAAAAAGTGAGAACAGTTAGAAGCACAGGAGATTCTTAGTGTTTTTTAAATAATTTTATTTGAAATATGCTCTATAGCCAGCTGGCATCAGCCAGGCGGCGCCAACACAGTGAGAGCTCACGGTTAAGCCGGGAACACATTTGCGAAAAAAAGCCGAATTTTGTGCGAAAACCGCACACGAAAGTCGCACGGCAGCTAGGCTCCTCCCCTTTTCCGAAAATCGGAAGCGGTTTGACAGATCTGCAGCGCCAGATATTTTCGCACGGCGCCTCCGAATTCGGGGCGTAGGAGCTCGGTGAGCGAAAGCCCGGAACAGGACGGAACGAAACGATACGATCGGCTCGCAACATGGCGGCTCACGCAGCTTCGGAAGCAGCGCAGGCAAGATCGTATGCCATCCCTGCGTTCTCATCTCAACCTTCGGAGGAAACCATTTCAGTCTCTGTCTCAAAGGGTGGTGGTACAAAGGCTCGCGTGGCATTCAATGAGGTTTTAATAGCTGATGTGTTTAAGAGGTGCGAAATATGGGACGCCAGTTCGCCAGACTACCGCACAGCCTCCTGAAGTCGGAGCACAAAAACCGCAGTGCATTGCGATTCCCGCGCCGCGCATTCCACCGCATGTGGCTCGTCTTCCGAAAATCGCAAGCTACGATTTTCGCAGCCTCCGATTTCTCTCCGATTTTCGGTTCGTTTTTTCGCAAATGTGTTCCCGGCTTTATACTCTGTTTCGTTGTAACTTGGCAAAGGGTGAACGATAAGCCCTACGCTGCGTGCCGACGGCTTCGATATATGCGCTACGTTTATGAGCGAAACGCACACATATTGGACCATGACGCAGCGAAAAGCTTGATACTTCTTCGCAGTAAAAACGCACTCAGGTTATATGTAGTGACGTTCAGATTGGCCAGCCAGGCCCATAGCTTCCGCCGTACTGGAATGTTATGCGATCATCACGGCTTTCTGGGTACCCTGTGTTTCTTGATTCAGACAATAGGCCTAAGCAATGCCACCAGAGTAATAGCTCACGTTTGAACAATGCAGCTGACACTCCCAAGCATACCCACTATTTTTTGCTTCAGTCGCTAGATAGCGCCAAACCAAACAGCATTGCAGGTTGCCTATACACGTTTTTACAAAACTTCACGGATGTTTTCTATTCGAGTGAGAATGAGAGATATTTAGATAATTTTCTTCCACAGGGGATTTAAAGCCCATCTTTTTGTTTTTTTCACTTCTTCCAGGATGGTTCTCGTGGCATCCCACCCTCATGACGTTAGCGGTGAGTATTCTTTGGCCGTACCAGGAGGGAATTACCCAACCGCCACACTCCATCAGATGGGAGACAAAGTGCCAATGGTATCGTCACGCCGATCTCATTTCTCGGAATATTGGCCAATTGATATTCTGCAGGCGCCATTTTAGTAGTCCATGGTCACGGAACGGTACTTTGTTTTATTTGCGAGGGACAGGCACAGGCGTCATGATAAATGCGTCGGAAACAGCATCCCGAGAGTGAGAAGGGTAGAGTGAGAACAAAATATTCAGACCCCAAAGGCAATCTCTCGCCCCTTTTCAACGCGCTCGAAATTAGAGCTGCCATTACGGACTTCACGTCTCGCACGTGCACCCGTCCAAAGATTTAATTTCTCCACTTGGAATGTCACCTCTTCCGGTTTCAGGGGTTCAATCTCGTCTCGAGGAATTTGTAGACATTTAGCGAAGGGTTCTTCAAAATGTACATCGATGAGGCATCGGGTAGCCGTGTGGACAGCGTTGCTCATAGAATGAGCCGCAAAGTATAGGATACTATTGTAGAGCAGTGATCTGGATGCCTGACTGTAGGGGCACGTGCCGAGCCACTCAAACTGGCAAGGGCGAAATCGCATAAAGCCCGCGATGGCGCGGAGGACAGCGTGTTGCGTCTAAGTATATCAGTGACACCAGTGAGGCGACCAAAATACGAAGAAACCCGTTCCTGGGTTTGGAAGCATTCCGGCCCGAGCGAACGAAAATGCAGCCTCCTCCTATGGAAACAAAGTTGGAAGACGCAAAATCAGCATGTCTCGAGGTGCGGTACGTTAGTTTTTAGTTTTACCATGGTTCTACGATCGCTTACGCTAGTCAACCTCACTCCGGTTGACAAGCGTCACAATGACGTAACGTCATCCTATTAGATTACGCCACCCCCATTGGCTGCATGGAACGGTTGGTTACGTGACGTTAGCCCATCGAATGATTTCGCCCGACCACGCCAAGCGAATACACCATCGAAGACGCGGGTACCGACACCCCACGTGGCAACGCCCCGCTACAATGCACCCGTCAAATGTTCATTGTTTGTGGGACGTTGCTTTCGTGATGCTATCGTATGGTCTAATAGACCATACGATAGGCAATGTCCGAGGTTCTCCTTGCATGACGGTGGCATTGGCCATACAAAAACTCTCTCCAGACATGTTCGAAGCGTGCATATGTGCGAAGTAAACATGTTTAGCGTTCTGCAAACAACGCTGTCGTCGTGTCTACAGCGAACAGCCCCTTTTGTACGATGTATGATCACGTGTGAGTGCGACTATACGCTCGTCTCGTGGAAAGCTACTTAATGCATTCTGAGTTAATGAAGAAATGAATAAAAAATGCGACGCCCATCTATGGCCACGTTCATGCACTGTGAAAACGTTTGTGCTGCTCATCGCGTGGCACTCTGCAGTTTGGGCTGTTGACGCAACCTGCGGTGGCGCTGCTCATGTCCCGCCCCCTGCCCGTGCTCCGGGCCATTGGATCGCATCGTCGCCGAGTATTCCTGCACTGGGTTCTTCAGGTACGTCCCTCCGTTTCACTCAGAGTCGGACCGCAGCCGACGATGGAGCCAACAGAGTGGCGACAGTTGTGCTTCGTCACGCCGCTCCTTGCCTTTCTGGGTTTCCCATAAACAACTGAAGCAATCACACGCAAAAAAAAGAAAAAAAAGAAAAGAAAAACCGCAGGTTTGCTGCATTGTACGTGATCGGCTTAGTCGCTGATGGGAAATACACTCAGACGATAAAGCGCAGTGACGATGCGCTTTTGCCACGGCCCGATTGGCCCTATCGGATAGCATCGTTGGACTCGTGCCGTTTTATGGTCATAAAAGACCGGTAATTTGAGTACGACTCCAAAAATGTTGCGAGGCTCCGATGCTTAAAGTACAAGGTGCGAAGGCATCAAACCTTCGAGATGCTGGCTTTTTAATGCCAAAGCATTAACTGTTCTATGGAGCGAAGCCGGCGTTGTCTGTAACCGTCTGTAGCAGCGAAACGGCACATGAATTCCCATTGGCCAAAAGCACAGCAACGCAGATGCTTAGGTATACGGAAGCCGTCGTGAGGTCGGCGAGGTTCGCTGCTCCTGCGCAGTGGTGGAGCGTGATGTCACCGCCGGAGCGCCGCGTGCGAAAGGAAGGCGTGGCGCGCTGATTGCAGGAATGCGGTGCGTGTAGGAATGCGAAAGCATTCCTACACGTAAGCAGTCTTAAGCGTCTTTCGCATACACTATAGTTTTTCGTATTTTGCACTTGTTTGTGCTGTCCCTTGTATATATATATATATATAACTGGAGAAGAAAAAACCCTTAGTGAAAACAGCAACAGCGGACGATTTATTCTTCGACGTTTCGGCAGGAAGAACTTTTACAGATGAACGCGGGTGGTATTTATACAATGCTACCGTCGAGTCCAAATTTCGGCAGGGTGACGGTTGGAGCTTTTTGAGAGGGTGCGCAGGGTGACTTTGTGTCACCCTGCGCCCCCTCTCAAGAAGCTACAACCGTCATCCCACCGTCCTTGAAACTTGGCCCCGACCGTCAAGCTTCTTCACCCGGATAAGAACTGCCCTAGGCTTCTCTCTCACGAAAGCTCCAACCACCCACGTTTGAGTGGGCTAACAGGGAGGAAGTGGCCGAGTGGGCTAACGCGTCTCAGCTCGGAGCGTGGAGCGAAAGCTTCCGCTGGGAACCTCCTGGGTTCGATCCCCGCTGCCCCCGCCCGTTTTGATCTGAATGAGTTTCGTACCGGCACGCGTTCGTGTGATCACTACTGCGTGATGCACGTTAAAAATCCCAAGTTAGCGGTTGTACTGCACTGGCTAAATTTCTCATCTACAGCTAAGAGACCGATTACCCGTTGAGGCGCATCTCCATTAAGGCTGTATAAACATAAAGAGCAAACCATTTTTTTTTTGTAAAAGTTCATTTCTGACGAAGGCAGGACTCCGGCCGAAACGTCGAAGATTAAATCGTCCGTTGTTGCTGTTTTCACTAAGGGTTCTTTTCTTCTCAGTTATATACCCACGCCTTCGGCCTGCCGCCACCATGCCCGTTATATATATAGACAGAAACCCTGTTAACAAATGCTTCAGGCACCTTCCCATGAAAGAAAAAAGGACTGCACCAAAAGGAAAAATAAATTTGGGGGAACACACAGACAACCAAATGAAGATCAACTTTTCCCTTTTCCCCTGTCTTTTTATTTATTTTTTGCTTGTGAATGTGTTTGAAAGCTTTATAAGCAGGATCTTAGTCACTATTTATCAGCTGGGCTCGATACTCGGCGTCTTGTCGTCCTTCGTTCGCCCATTCCCGGGTTTTGAGTGTTCGTGTTCGGCCGTCACCAGCTCGTTTGTGCCCTAACTTTCTGTTCTCAAGATTCCTACAGTCGAGTTTCAGGTTCGACGCTAGCTCGCGACGTCCCTAATAAAAAGCGACGCACGAGCGGGCGACCCGCGCACGAACGACGTTCGCAGCGCCGGCGGACGACCGATGAAAGGAGGCAGGGGGCCCGCCAGGCTTCCGCCTGCCTTCCTCGGGACGCTGTGCACTCGAACCTTGGCCGAGATTGGCGGCCGACTCTGTCCTCGGCGCGAGCGACACTCCGGCCAGGAAACAAACAACGCGTCGCGGACGGACCGCGGAACGACGCGCCGACGCGTACTCGAAGGGGGGCGACGCCTGCGTATACACTTCGCCCCTGCCCACAGCGTGGGCCACGCGAACCGTAGCGAATTGGCTCCATCGGGTTGCTTGCGAGCTGACGGACCACTTCATTATTTAATAGTAATAATAATATTAATAATAATGACTGTATTTTTAATTGTTTACGACTGAGGACTTAAGAAAAAAAAAAAGAGAAAGGCTGTAGTGTACAGCTTGGCAAGCCTTAGGGCCCCTAGGATTGTCAACAAACAGCGAGGAAAATACGCAAAGAAGGAAAATAGCGTACAAACTAGAACAAACTAGCGTAAAAAAAAAAAGAGAAAAGAAAACGAAAATCCTACGCCTCAAAGAACGTGCAAGCGTCCTACAACAGAATCGCCTACAGTACTTCTGTGGTCTTTAGGTTCGGTAGTTTTTCATTTTGACTCAGCTAGCTTCCGGTCGAAAAAAAAAGTGTTAAAGTCCACGTTAATTGTATAAAAAAAAAAATAAAAAAATAAAGGAAACATCATTAGAAGTTGTGCTGCGAAAACTGTGACAGTAGGACAAATATATGTTGAATTTTTCGTACGGCCCCTGATGTTTTTCGCGTGAAGTCAATCAGCCAGCATGAACAGTGCACTAGCACGGGCTGCAAAGTGCCCGTCCCGAACCCCCGAGTTAGACACGAAAAATACAGCGGAGGGATGATATAAAAAGATGATATATATATAAAAAAAGAAGTAAAAGGAACAGCCGAAGTTTTGCATGATAGAAACAGGGAAAAACGAGCGTCTCCCCTATGTCGCACTTCTCGCCGCTGACCGTCGCCCGTCCAGTTTTAGCCACACTTACAGCCTCTCCGTTTTGTTTTTGATTTTGACTTTAATAATAATAATAATAATAATAATAATAATAATAATAATAATAATAATAATAATAATAATAATAATAATAATGTTTATTTACGCGGGTAGTTCACTTCATAGTGAGGCGGGTCTGTCAAAGCCAGACAAAAGGCTTGTTGGACAAGACCCTACAGTTTGTGATAAAAAAGCGTCCCCACACATGTAAGCTTCCAAGCTCAACATACATCACAATATAAACGATGATGGTCACACAAACACATGCACATACACAGCACAGTTAAAAACTTGCACTTTTAGATCGGAGCATTTGCTTCAGTTTGTTTAGTGAGTCCACAGTGTAAACATCGTCCGGTAGGCTATTAAATATATAGGGAACATAAAAACTCCGAATTCTTTTTCCGTAGTTTGTCACAACAAAAGGCATTTCATAGCGCTCGGTATGTCGAAGTGATCTAGATACGACATGAGGTACTCTGAAATTATCACACCAAAAGTGTTTCAATATAACGGTCTGAACCAATAAGGAGTGGAACAATGGCAAGCCCAAGACTGCTATGATCTCTTCTTCAGTTAACGATATGGAACCATAAACAATGCTTTTAAATATTCCTGTTAAGACTGAGTCTATTTTTTGACCCCATCGTCCTGGGCTGTGACCAAAAATAGTTATTCCGTAACGCAAAACACTGTATGCCAAAGCGTGAGCTCTTGTCTTTTTCGTTGAATAAGGTATTAAAGATCTGGTATTGTACAGTAAACAAGATACATTTCTCAGTCGTTTACAAAGTTTTGACAGATGAGAATTCCACGACAAATCACTTTCGAATTGAATTCCTAAATATTTAACTTGATCTACATAAGATATGGGACAACAGTTACAAGATGTACAAAGAGAGGTATGCATATATATAGGATGATTGGGCGTTAACATCTTAAGAGGATTACGAAAGCAGACAAGCTGAGTTTTAGATGCATTTATCGTAAGACAATTTGTCTTAAACCAGTCATTAAGTTGACTAGTGTCCTCTTGGAGTAATGCGATTGCTACAGGATAATCAAGATGTTTTGAAAGCAACACTGTGTCATCCGCATATTGAAACAATTTACATGTTGAAACTGAGTTAGACATATCGTTTACAAAAATGTTAAAAAGAAGAGGTGACAAAACAGAACCTTGAGGAACACCAGCCTTTAAGGTAACTCGGGAGCTTCGACTATTACCTATAGAAACTAGCTGTGTCCTCTCAGTTAAAAAGTTCCGGAGAAGAGAAAGAAATGGGCCGCGGAATCCAATGTTTTGCAATTTTGTTAGTAAAATATTGTGACTCACTGAATCGAACGCCTTTGCTATATCAATAAAAAGTGCGCAAGCAATCTGATGCCTCTCGAAGGCTAGATGTAATTCATCTGAAAAATCTTCCAAAAGTGGCTGTGTCCCACGTCCGTTGACAAACCCATATTGACTGGGCGACAGAATATTAAAGTGATCAAGAAAGGCCGTCATAGTTTGAAAAATATGTTTTTCTAAGATTTGGACAATACAGGGCAAAATGGAAATTGGTCGATAATTGTCAAGTTTTTTATGCTCTCCCCCCTTAAATACGGGCTTCACTAGCGCACTTTTCAAATCAACCGGGATCATTCCGGAGGAAATGAAACCATTTAACATATGAAGGAGCACAAGTTTTATAGAATCATAATTTCGGCGCAGATCATTTGCACTGATACCATCGATACCGGGCGCCTTGTCAGTTCTGAAACTAAAAAGCAAAGTGCGTAGATCATGTTCAGACATTTCGGGAAGGAATGCCGAGGAAACATTATAATCAAGAAAATCTGCCGTGAACATAGTATCATCCCGAGCTACTCCAGAAAATTTAGCAAAGAACATATTGAAATCCTCTACTAGTTTTGTCGTATTGTTACCAAACACTTTCTCGAGGGAGGCATCTATCGATCTCTTTACACCCGTGCCTCGTAATTGATTTATTAAACTCCAAGTCAT